CACAACTAAGCAAATGGCACCGCCGCTTTTATTGTGTTTTCATGTCTACAATTCGCTTTTTAAATGTGTTTTTCTAGTCCTTTCGGTGGTTTTTATTTTTCTATGTATCCTTTAAGTTCTTCTAAACTCTAAGGGCTGCGTGTAACGCAGTTGTCGTATGGTTGGAGGCGCCCTGCAATACACATGGGCCGATCCCTAAACCCCAGGCCCACTGATCCCTCCATCCCTCGGGGATCGGTAAATTGATACTACCAGACTTGTCTGGGAGGATAGCAGAACTGGTTCGATACATAGTAGGCCTTTACGAGTCATCGTAAAGACCAGATATGCATTTAATTACCCCCAACGATACTTAATGAAGTCGAATGCATGGCGCATCCCTCAGGGATAGATCAACTCCGGAATCTCTATTTATTCATTTTATTCTTTAAGCTCTTCTATCTATTGCTCCACATTTTTGATTCATTTGGACATTAAAATTAGGTTCTGCGGGCTGCAGAAAATCACAATTTTATCATGGCAGATCATATTGTAATGAACACAGTGCGGCATATGGTGAGATATATTTGTCCAAAATTCAAGGACTGAATGATTTTCGGAGATGCAGAAACAGCAGTAGGCATGATAAGGCGTGAGGCCACTGCTGTAACTCGTCATTGTGGCTATAATGTAAGACGGTTATTTGGCATCTCTTTATTTTGCTGTTGAAGAGTATCGGTGAAACCAGGTACCTCTTCAATGAGTTGAGCAATACGTTAGAACATCCGTTCTCGTAATGGTGTTTAGTGCAGCTGCTTTCGTGTTATTATCGTTCTTGCCTTTCCTGTCGTTTACCTCTTTTTCCGTTACCCCATTTGTGTAATTTCTTCCAGTATATCACATTCACCTCTATGCTGAAGTGAGTGTGGTTCTATGGGCTCCTATTACCTAGGAAGCTTCCTTTATGTTGTAGCAAAACCAACGATGTTCATTTTTAAGGAATTTACTGTTACGTTATGTTGATAACTCAACATCTAAACTTTGGAGACTACTAATCAAGCGTAATCGCAGAGATCTTGTTATTGAGGATACTGAGCACACTGAAGCCAAGGCACCTTTGAATCAAGGTCGATATTGTTGATGATGACGCGAGCGATGAATGGTTAAATTATGTGCTACTTCATATTCCTTCATTTTTCGTAGACAGTGAGTCTGCTGTTAACTAGCACCTTGTGTTTGAATGTAATGAGCCAATTGATTTACCGAACGAGCACGTAAGCTTATTCTTCTACTTAGTTGCCCAGACGTATCTGGTGAACACATGGAAAGTCTGCAGTAACCTTATCCAGAAAATCCCAATCATTAACGTCGAGGTCTAAGCTTACTTATCTTTGGTCCCAAACGGCAGACTCGTCACAGCTACACCATATACTACACCATATAGTTACCCATCTGTTGGAAACAACTAGAAAATTGAGATGTCGCATTGACTGCAGTGGAGCGCTAACACGAATTTATTACTGAATATCTGCTGGTATACCTTCCAAGCAGATAAGCACTAGAAGCAGCCAATATTGTACCTGGAGTGCTTAAATAATTGTCACAATTTGTGCTACGTGTTGAAATTTTACGTTGTAGAGATTAGAAATTGGTTGAGGAATGTAGGAGAGTAAAGCTTTCTGACTACAATAGATGGAAGTTATATGCATATATGCATATTTTTTCGTTAATTTTAATCTACTGCCTATTATTTTTCAATGGCAGGGTATTATGTCAAATATAGCCATAACGTTGCTAAGATGTTTGCAAAACTCTCGACGGCTGGTGTCTGCGGTGGTGCCGAACACGCTATTACCCTTTCCGGGGACTAACGCGTGCACCACCACGCCATTCGAGTTCTTCGTTCCGCTTGTCTCGCATCCGTTTTACTGGCCTATAGACGTTATCAGCAATCATCGGTTTGTGCTACCCAGGTCAATCCAGTTTGTGCTCTCCAGATCAATAGCGTATTCGGTCCCCACCGGAGACACCAGCGGTCCGCAGTTTTGAAAATATCAACACCATTATGGTTATATGAATATTGCTTGTTTATTTATCTATTTATTTATTTACTTATACGTTTTTCACATCTACTGTGCGGATTCCAGCACTTCTTTCATTCGGTTCGTTTTCACGCAAACGTCATGCACGGAGGTCGTCCCACTTTTACGTATGGGTTCGGCTGCTCTTAGGAATTTTCATTTCATCATGAATGTAATAGAATGATGGTCAAGTCTATTCTCGCTAGAGTTCAAAGATAACCGGGCAAGTGCTTTCCCACTTGGACTGAAGCGTGCTTTTTTTCTGAACAAGTCCGTTACCTATTTCCTGACCGCAAAGGGAATAGAGACCTGGTGGACCCGAAACGTGATCGACCCAGCACCGTGCTCGTGATGATATATACGGATATATATATGCATATATATATGTATATATATATATGTATATATATATATATATATACATGCGGGCTGTTCTTATGCGAGTAATATTACTCTTTCATTTGGTGGGTTATGATTATTGCAAAAGCGCTAGCTGTAAAGTTTTGGGGTTCTAAAGATCGTAAATGGTGGGTAAGAACCTTTATTGTAAAAGTTTTCTATAGCAAATATATCTGTACATGTTTATAAGATTACTAGAATGTTATAAGCTATAAAGAACCTACACTGTGTGGGAAATATATTGACGAACACGTAGACCTTGTACAGACAAATCGTTTTTGTGAAACGCACTACACAAATGTGCTCTAAAATTATAGATGACATAGTATCTTAACGTAGCGAAAAAATGTCTCCAAATGCTGAACTTCAGCTTTGAGGTGCAACACAGACAATTCACTCCTAAGCGCCAACAGTCGCTCTTCGACCGCTCTCTCCATAATCGTCTAGTCCCTTGTCCGCGAATTGAACTCATCCAGCAAGCAGTTTTTTTGGTTTTTTCTGAAAATTACTAGCTATGGAAAGTGGGATCCCAAGGATGTTGCTTGGCAATACGATTTCTATGCCATGAACTATCGATTGGTTGCAAAAAGTGCAAAAAAATTCTCAATAGAGTAAAATAGACTGCCACGAAGAGAATGTGTTGACGTTCACTCACGCCGGTCATTACGTCGGCCCACGAGTGGATGGAAGTCCACTCATGCTGGTCTTTAAGTGTTAATTATGCATAAATTTTCTAGGTCATTCACATTGCTTCTGTAAGTTTACGAAAAATCATTTCGCTTCACATAGGTGTGCTCTGCAGTGCAAAACCAAGACTTCACTGTGGTAGAAGACTACTGCTGTGGCTTGCGGGCTCTTCTCTATCTTAAAGGAGCAAAATCACTTGTGGACTGGGACGGACAAAGCCCACCTATTGCTAAACATCAAAAGGGAAAACCTGTCACTGTGAAAGATACGGTAGAGACGTATTAAAACAACTACCATTTATTCTGTGTTTAACATAAGAATTTGTTTTTGATAGTCATTTTTTAGGGGCTTCCAAATTTTGGAAGGTATCGAGAAGAGCGAGGGAAACTGGAAAGGAATCTGTTAAAGAAATCTGACACAGAATTAGCACACGATGGCTTCGCTCATCGACCCGACACAACAGTGGAGAAAATCCCTACTATTCAAGTACTATTAATCTATGTGGAAAGTCGAGACTACTGTTACCAGTAAACACATTGACGACACTACATACAATTTGCGACCCAAAACTGGGCATTATGCGCTTCAGAAGCTCATCTGAGATCACAGTAAACATTGATTGGACTAGAAATTATTAGTTGTTAACACAACTGCTAACCCAAACCCAAATCTAGTTGGTAGAAAGATTTGTTCGACTGACGTTTCGACGTCTTCGCTTTCCTCAGCACTGCGTTGATCCGAGTCGATGGTCCACAGCTGGTCGTTGCATCAAGTCGAATCTATTGGTGGGAGCTCGAATGAGTGACTTCACTCAGGCCGGTCCTTCTATACAGGGCGGGTGCTGATCGATTCCCGCCTCCAATATGGTCTACTTTTGACGAGCAGTTATTACTCTACCACTACTACTATATACTATAGTGCCCAGATTTAATGAAAGTTAGGCTAAAAACAGTTCTAGTTATTTGGTCGCGATGAATTACCAGGTTTGTGAAAACTACGAATTGCCCATTTTTTCTTCTTCACTTTTTTCATCAAATCAATAATCGCATTTTCGGATCCAAAAGATTTTAACAAGCGGAATTTCGTACAATACGCCACGTTGCTGTCCCCGACTGCGTAGCTGAAAATGGCCGCTCTAAGTGTTAACATTTGCGACAAAAATGCGTATATGTCTGTATATATATATATATATATATATATATATATATACAAACTGATAAAGTAATGTATCTCCTAAAATTCTACCAGGCCCTGGAATCCCTGAGTACGCTTGTTATTTACAATCTAACTTTGCCGTCAATGGGTTAATAAATGCAGCTTCTTCAACATTTGTTTTCTTATCTATAAAGATAGTATTGAAACGTACAGTGTCAGATGCTTTCCAATATCCTGTAAGCATTTCGACAATACTGGTATTCAGGACATCGTTGGGTCGGCACTATCTCGAATTGGACCTTATGCGACACTGGACAATAAGCAACAGAAAGTCGCAGTCATTGACGATGTAAAAGTAGTTTTTTCGTATTGAAGATTTCTGATGAAGTGATTTGGTTTGAGGATCTCTGCATAAACTGCGGGAAGTGTTATATGACGTGCAATGATTCGGGTTACCAAGCAATTTCATTCGATCACAGCACCCATCAAGCAACGGTAAACGAAGATGCCTGTACTGGATGCACTCTCTGTTACAGGTGTGGTGACCAGACTTTTCTGAACTTAGAACTCCTAACCATGAGCACTGCTTTTTTTCAGCGTCTGCCCAATTCCGGAATGCATTCAGATGGTACCAAGGAGAGGTGCGTGGAAGGCTCCCAATCGTGGCATAAGCCCGGATTTTAAGCTAGTGACACCAGATGTTTTAAAGCTCCGTCCGCGAGAGAAATTAGTCATCAATGAGAACTGAAAATGGTCGTAATTGTTTCAGCGACTATATTCTCGAATTGTTGGACATTCCGTGATTTTACACCCTTGTGGTCGAATGAAGGTCATTTATAGCAAATCAGTGCCAGTTAACTCCTTGTTCCACATAGAGTTATCGATTATATTAATTCTGTATGTGAATAGGTAGATTTTACCAGTGGTAGATTACTGGATTTAGTATAGAAACAAACTGGAACTTCGAAATTATTGTTTCAACTGCTAGGTAAGGCAAGTTGTTCAAGAAGAAGTGCTGGACTACGGTTTGAAACCTTGATGAAATTTCGACGAAATGGTGTTCTCCCAAGCTTTCTCGGAACTTCATGCTGTATTCAGTTTCAACTGTTTCTTCAATTTTAAATATTCGTTACGGCAGGTCGACACGCAAACACGCGACATGAGAGTATGCATTCCACCTTCCTGATTCCGAGAACAGAACTTAGGATCCATCGATGAGCAGCAGCTTCGACCTAATAGGAAGCTAGCTGAATTGTGGAAATTTTGGAAGGGAAAGAAGCCGAGGTTTTTTAGCTACTAGAAACTGCAATAAGGAATTTAATGCATGCAAAGATTAAGTGCTTATATCACATTTATATGCATAACAAAACGTCCGATCACGATCACTAAAAATCTGTAAAATGGTACCGGGGTAGGCTGTTGTAAGAACTATTGATTTGTTTTCTGTTTAGCAACTAATTTTATTGTGGTTCTTTTCTTTCTTGAAGGTTACATCACCAATTCACTATTTGCTTTATGAGCACATAGGAGTTTGTTAACAAAAAGATTTATTCAGTAGAATACTCGCTGCATATGGTTTCACCTTCTTCAGAGCTTGGAAAGATGAAGTTGGCACGCCATCTACTCAGTGAAACACTTCCATAACTTCACTGAAGAAAACTTGATACACGAATTTTTTTCCAATCGCATTGTGAACAACTTCTAAACAGTCACCGTTTTATTCTTTAAAAGTTTTCCAGTTATTCAATGAAGACCAGCCGAATAGACTTTTACGTTGATCAAGAATGTGCCTAACTCAGGTCTGAAAAAATCGGCCTAAAGTATGAAGTGAGGTGAGGTCACGCATGGTAGCAAGATACTCCTCATTGCGACTATTTTTAGATTTTTGGAAGTTATTCAAAGGCATTAGGAGTTTTTCGCAGAATGCTTTACAATACTTTGCAAAGGTACTGTTTATTATTTCAAGTTTCCCGCTGTTGCATCTTTGTACTCTGTGCGTGTGAAGTTGAGTGTTTTGTTAGGCTTGAAGTTTTCTAAGTGTTCTTCCATACCGATGCTCAGTGGCCTAAACGTTTCGACAACGTATTCGTTCCCGCATGTTTTATATACCTTACCAAAACTCTAAGAGTTACATGAATTTCCAGTTGCGAACCTTAAATTATACAATACGAGCGTGCAAGCTCTAGTGAAATCCGAGCACACTTATTTGGGTCTGCATGAGCTAATAAAAATTCAACCATATCTTCCTCTTTGCAAACGTTGCGAGCCGGCTGTCCCACTGACGTCTTCGCTTAGAAGATTAGTTTTTGAGCTGCTTGGTAGTTAATGCTAGATGTGTAATTTCATTTTTCTCCTAAATGTCTTAGCAAAAGTTTTTTTCTAATGCCGCACTATTATATTTCATTCCAGAGCACATCCTATGCCACCTCGTTCTACACGGTTTAATTATGCTATAAATAGTGTTTATGTCAAATTTTGAAGGTTAGAACTTCGAGTTCCAAAGCAGTAAGCTTTAGAGATTTGCGTTTACGGTTTAAACTAGGACGTACGCAGCGCGATCGCCTGGGTACATTAATGAGATAAGGGGACAGTGAAGTTTTAAAGAGAGCAACGTCGGCTTAAAAAATTCGTCGTTGCAAATTCGATAAAAGGGAGCTTGCAGACGCCTTCTGCTAGCGGTGATGAATCGAAGGGTTTGGTGGAAACAAGCGCGCAGTTGTTTGAGAATTTGCAGAAAAATTCTACGTAAGCATACCAGCTGTTTCAGAGCATCTAGTGATAACTGAGAAGTCGGAGAAGCTCTACAAATGGTTTTCGCACGCATTGAACGACAATAAGGATATCTTCGTTCTGAAGCATCATCGGCACTATTTCTGCTCATTCCGAACGACCATTTCTAAAAAGTGTTGCGACGTGAAACGATAAGTGAATCCTGCGTGACAATCGGAGGTGATCGGATCAGCCAATTGGCTGCATGGACCGTTGCAAAGCCCCGCAGCACTTCCAAAAGCTGAATTGGCACTAAAAGAAGGCCACGTTTACCGTTTGGTGGTCAACACCTTATTTGGTCTATCACAGTGTTTTGAATGCAGGTGACATGATAATCGGCAAAATGAGCCAAAACCTTCAACAGCTGCGCTCCTCATTGGCTAATAGAAAAGCAAGAATTCTTCTTCATGATAATGATCTGCGATGCGACCGTCGGCCGATAGGTTGAGCGAACTAGGCTACGAAATTCCACCTCGTTTAGCATACTCGGTAGACCGGTCGACTAACACTTCTACAAGCATCTCGATGATTTCTCGTGCGAGCAATGTCTTAGAAATCAAGCCGAGGTCTGAACTGCAATCGAAAACCCGATCGCCTTCAGGTGTGGAATTTTAAGTGCCCAATAAAAATAAACTTGCTTCTCTTCGTTAAAACTGTGCAAATTAAGCTGAGAAATGCCACTTTGAAAATATAGGTTGAAATTGGACATTAATTTCCGGATAACCTGATAGCTCTGCACTTCATAGACGACTGGTTTCCTTTTTGATTTAAAGACATATTTAATAAGTAAACGACTGTTCATCCATTGTCATCAGTTATGACTTGCTGATTTGCTTCCATGGTGGCAGTGCGTCGTGTAACAGTCGGATTTATCTCGGCTCTTTTCGCGTTGTTTTCGAGAAATTAACTTTACTTAAGAATTGTTCTTTCAGAATTGTTTAGCATGAATGGACTCTATCATTTAGAAGGCTACTACGTTATAAAAACAGATTTGAAGTCTCCATAACTTTTAGAGAAGTATTCCAGTGCAAACCTATTCAGAAAAGTAAGTAGTCCTCAACATACACATTTATTTTCTACCTTTACTGAAAAACGGCATGCATGAAATGAACTCACCACCAGGCCTGCACAATTAACTTTCCGAAGCTGCAGATTAGCCTTATGTCCATACAGTTTGTTCAACATCATCAGTCTGTTTCTCTTTCTTTCTTTTTCTAACTTTTTCCTGTCAGTTTGCCCGTAGCCTTTTGTCCCGAAGGCAGACATCGGTAGCCCAGCAATAATTACTAAATTTCCGCGCTATCGACAGAAATGTTGGAAAAATTCCCCCTATATACGGCGAACCATGCAATTACATTGTCGGAAGGAAGACTCCTTCACTTGTTTTTTCAAATGTTCAAGTGTATATGAAAGACTTTCTAGACAACAAAAGAGTGGAACTTTTCTTGTTGTTTATCCAAAATGAGTACCTACATCTCGGTAACAAGGCTTTGCTGAAAGTGTTGGGTGCAGTTATAGATGGCTTATCGAGTTCTGATGTGAAACCTTAGATGTGAATCGTTTTTATATTTTCTAAATCCTTCCTTATCTGTGCGCAGTCTATGGTTTTGATCTGCCACTTTGTCCTAGGGCTAACTAGTTCAATGTCGTCACACAAGGTAGATCTAGTGTCCGGATGTACAGAACAAGTGCTCAAACATCAGACATCAGCTAGTTCGTAACTGATAGTATAATCTCTATTGGGGACGAATGTATTGGCGAAAGGGGTAGACCACTTTGCGACCGTATAAAAAAGCACCTAGTGGGGAAACATAGAGTCAGACAAAACGCCCCACTATACACGCATACAGCACAAGGATTTAACGTGGAATTTTAAAATAAAGGTCACTTGCCTCACATAGGAATCTGAAATATGGGCGTCTAGAACACTTTAAGCATTTCGGACTAATTCCAAAAATCTAAAAATGAACCTCAAGGAGGAGTGCCCTGTGACCACGTTTAACCTCTTGCCATACGTCAAGCTGATATTTTGACATCAGGTAGGCACATTCTTTCCCTATGAAGGAGTTTGTGCGTCGGTCTCCAACAATAATTGGAAGACTTATAAAGAACAACGCTGTTTTATTTATTGCTTATTCTCTTTTTCATAGCAGGGTATTATTGTGGTATACAACGACAAAGGTGCTATTGTGTGAGCAAAACTCGAGACCTCAAATGGGCTTCATGCCTGCGTTTATTACCCTTTATGGGACAGTCACGTACTGTATTGTTTAACCAATGGAAGCCCTTGCTTTACCTTTCTCTCAGGTACTTTTTTGCTTTAACCCTGCCATCAGAAACTGCGCGCCAATGGGAATGATTTTGTGAGGACAAATCGGCGTTAAATCCAATTAAGCCCAAACTGCACTCGAAATCACAATGTATGACATTAATTCATTGCCCACACTTTTTTTTGTCAGGGCATTATGTGAGCTACAAACACAGTGATGCTGAGATATGAGCAAAGCTTAAAACCTCAGATGGCTTTCGAACCCCCAAGAATCATTTCCGCGCCTCGCATGTCATTTGTATCAATGGGTGACTGCGGATTAGCACTGTTACAGTGCAAAATTGGTTGCTAGAAGGGCAAATCAAGGGCCTCGGTTAGTACAGTGAGAAGCACGTGGTCCTTCAAGAACGTTAAGCGTTTAAAAGGAACAGTCTTCTGTGTAAATGAAATTTAGAAGTTTACACACTAAGTTTTTTCTGCTTAGGTTATACAAGTGTTCCGCTGAGTAGATTTGGTCAATTTATCGTTCCCAGGTTCTGAAGGGGGCCAAACCGCACAAACGTCATTGAACAGCAATCTCGACTTGGCTCGCGAATGAAACGCTGCATTATACAAGAATATAGAAGATTAAATCTTCGAAAACATGTGAGAAATCACCTAAAATTACAAAGCTATAGTAATATTACAGCGTTAAGAGAGCACAACTCAGG